GCCTCAAACTGGTCCCTGGCAGGGAGCCTCAAACTGGTCCCTGGCAGGGAGCCTCAAACTGGTCCCTGGCAGGGAGCCTCAAACTGGTCCCTGGCAGGGAGCCTCAAACTGGTCCCTGGCAGGGAGCCTCAAAACTGGTCCCTGGCAGGGAGCCTCAAACTGGTCCCTGGCAGGGAGCCTCAAACTGGTCCCTGGCAGGGAGCCTCAAACTGGTCCCTGGCAGGGAGCCTCAAACTGGTCCCTGGCAGGGAGCCTCAAACTGGTCCCTGGCAGGGAGCCTCAAACTGGTCCCTGGCAGGGAACCTCAAACTGGTCCCTGGCAGGTAGCCTCAAACTGGTCCCTGGCAGGGAGCCTCAAACTGGTCCCTGGCAGGGAGCCTCAAACTGGTCCCTGGCAGGGAGCCTCAAGCTGGTCCCTGGCAGGGAGCCTCAAACTGGTCCCTGGCAGGGAGCCTCAAACTGGTCCCTGGCAGGGAGCCTCAAGCTGGTCCCTGGCAGGGAGCCTCAAACTGGTCCCTGGCAGAGAGCCTCAAACTGGTCCCTGGCAGGGAGCCTAGCGTTATGGTGTTGTCAGTTTGGTTTAAGTTCTTAGAATGTGGAAGGAATCTGTAGGAGGAGGGCTTAACGGGAACAAGGGAATTCCCATGGTAGTGACAGGAAGTTGAGTTCCAAGGAAAGACATTCACACTCTCTTTTCCTCTTTCACTTTACTTCTCTCTTCCCTGTGTCTCTCTCTCTCGCTCTGTCTCTCTTTCTCCCCCCCATCCCCCCCCCCCTCTCTCACCCCTCTCCATCTCTCTTTCTCCCCTCCACCTCTCTCTCACCCCTCTCCATCCTCTCTTTCTCCCCTCCACCTCTCTCTCACCCCTCTCCATCTCCTATTCTCCCCTCCACCCCTCTCTTCACCCCTCTCCATCTCTCTTTCTCCCTCCCCTCTCCCACCTCTCTCCTCTCTCTTCCTCCCCCTCCACCTCTCTCTCGCCCCCCTCCATCTCTCTTTCTCCCCTCCACCTCTCTCTCGCCCCCCTCCATCTCTCTCTCGCCACTCAGTTGTCTGATCTCTACAGTATATCTCCGGCCCTGGGTCGCTACTTCTCCAGTGCTGGAATCTCTGACTTCAGGTAACACCTAATAAAACAAAGTAACACATATATTACTGTCTTCATTGAAAGGATGGCTTTTTCCGGTGCTTTCCACTACCCTCTGTATGCTGGCATTTAACGAGAGCCAGATGGAAAAAAATATTATATTTATTTCCCATGCTTCATTGCAATGATATATAATTACGGTAGAGCCCGTTTTTTTTCTCCTTGGTCAAGTCTTACGGTCAGGAAAAACTCTTGGCCCTAGCAATGACATGGAGATTGACTGGCTGGTCTGCTTTTCCTCTCAGAAACGGCTCTGTGGTAGCTGACTACTGGCTCCGGTTCCTGATGCCCCTGAACGATGCCGAGTTGGAGAAGTTCACTCTGAGTAGAGAGATGGTGTATAACGTCTTTAGACAGTCTCTCTATGACCAAGACCCTGAGCTCAACCACCCACTGTATATACACCCGGCTTCACTGGACATGCAGGGTGAGACACACACACTGGACACGCAGGGTGAGAGTGGCACACATGCGAGCACATACCCTCACGCGCGCAAGCACACACTCACAATATAACAATATAAACTGTTGCTGAAATATAATCTAATGAATTTAAATTCTGAATTGTTCCTATGATGTTATTCTTAACAGTGTTATTTTTTGTTTTTCTTACTTTGCAGTTGGCAGTGACTAGTGAGAGCACATGTGGCGTGCTGTGTTGGTGCCATAATCAGGTGGTATTTGGGATACGCCTGACTGTCTGTGACGTTGTGTTTCTGTCCTCTACGATGCTGCATCCACCCATATCTCAGAGGAAGTGGTATGAGGATGGGGCCACAGCCAGAAAGGGGGATATGTTTGCTTTCTAGTGTTTTAAACAAAAAATGTCTTTCTATATTTTCTCTATTCTATATAAGTGGAATATCTGATGGATACATAGAACCCATGGACCAACCCAGACAGACACATATAATGGAATCCTGTGAGTGGGGAAGTCTGGTGAAACTGGGTCACTATTACTGTATCAGCGGCACGTCCAACCTGACAGGCTATGAAAGTGTCCCTTGACCATTTACATTTACATTTACATCATTTAGCAGACGCTCTTATCCAGAGCGACTTAGAAATTGGTGCATTCAACTTATGATAGCCAGTGGGACAACCACTTTTTTTTCCTTATTTTTTTATGGGGGGGTGGGGGGGGTAGAAGGATTACTTCATACTATTCCAGGTATTCTTTTAAGAGGTAGGGTTTCAAGTGTCTCCGGAAGGTGGTCAGTGACTCTGCTGTCCTGGCGTCGTGGTGGAGCTTGTTCCACCATTGGGGTGCCAGAGCAGCGAATAGCTTTGACTGGGCTGAGCGGGAACTGTGCTTCCGTAGAGGTAAGGGGGCTACCTCTACCTCTGTTCATAAACACAGCTGTTTTCTTCACTGTTGAATGTATGACAAATAGACATGGATGAGACTTTTCTGCACATTCCATCTATCTCAAGTAGCCAAGAGAATGGAAAGGCCATTGGGTGTTTACAGGAAGTGTTTAAATGCAGTGTCTGACGGTGTATACTTTGCATGTTGAATGTCAAAGTGGATTAACAAAGTCTGTGGCCAAACGAGATATTTTTATCCAATATGTTTCTATGTGTTGTAATATGACTTCCTGAATCCTACTGTATCGTATGTATCATCTCTGAGGGAAGGACTATTCCAATTTGAGGCATTGCTTGAATCTCTTTATTCCTTTACATTTTACGTTAATTGATTGGAAACTGCATTTGAATTTTGTGAAATAAATTGTATTTTTTATTGTACTCTGAAGGTGTTGTCCTAATTAGCTAAAAGTCCCTCTGCCTCATACCACTAACTGGGTGCTGCTACGTCACTCACATCCAGTCACTCATACCACTAACTACGTCACTCACATCCAGTCACTCATACCACTAACTGGGTGCTACGTCACTCACATCCAGTCACTCATACCACTAACTACGTCACTCACATCCATCACTCATACCACTAACTGGGTGCTACGTCACTCACATCCAGTCACTCATACCACTAACTACGTCACTCACACTACTAACTGGGTGCTACGTCACTCACATCCAGTCACTCATACCACTAACTATGTCACTCACATCCAGTCACTCATACCACTAACTGGGTGCTACATCACTCACATCCAGTCACTCATACCACTAACTGGGTGCTACGTCACTCACATCCAGTCACTCATACCACTAACTACGTCACTCACATCCAGTCACTCATACCACTAACTGGGTGCTACGTCACTCACATCCAGTCACTCATACCACTAACTACGTCACTCACATCCAGTCACTCATACCACTAACTGGGTGCTACGTCACTCACATCCAGTCACTCATACCACTAACTACGTCACTCACATCCAGTCACTCATACCACTAACTGGGTGCTACGTCACTCACATCCAGTCACTCATACCACTAACTGGGTGCTACGTCACTTCACATCCAGTCACTCATACCACTAACTACGTCACTCACATCCAGTCACTCATACCACTAACTGGGTGCTACGTCACTCACATCCAGTTGGCATGCGTTTATTCCTTAGTTATGCAGAAGCAATGACCACGCTATTCCTTTTGTTGTTTTCCTTTAAATAAGTTGTTGTTGTTTACAGCTACAGAAGTTGTCAATGTTCCACATGACTGAGCACTAGGTGGCGATGATGTTTCCATGTGTCTCTGTACTACCACTGTCTCTACTGTCTCCTGATGTTTCCATGTGTCTCTGTACCACCACTATCTCCTGATGTTCCATGTGTCTCTGTACCACCACTGTCTCTACTGTCTCCTGATGTTTCCATGTGTCTCTGTACCACTACTGTCTCTACTGTCTCCTGATGTTCCATGTGTCTCTGTACCTCTACTGTCTCCTGATGTTCCATGTGTCTCTGTACCACTACTGTCTCCTGATGTTCCACGTGTCTCTGTACCACTACTGTCTCCTGATGTTTCCATGTGTCTCTGTACCACCACTGTCTCTACTGTCTCCTGATGTTCCATGTGTCTCTGTACCACCACTGTCTCTACTGTCTCCTGATGTTTCCATGTGTCTCTGTACCACTACTGTCTCCTGATGTTCCATGTGTCTCTGTACCACTACTGTCTCCTGATGTTCCATGTGTCTCTGTACCACTACTGTCTCCTGATGTTCCATGTGTCTCTGTACCACTACTGTCTCTACTGTCTCCTGATGTTCCATGTGTCTCTGTACCACTACTGTCTCTACTGTCTCCTGATGTTTCCATGTGTCTCTGTACCACTACTGTCTCTACTGTCTCCTGGATGTTTCCATGTGTCTCTGTACCACTACTGGTCTCTACTGGTCTCCTGATGTTCCATGTGTCTCTGTACCACTACTGTCATCTACTGTCTCCTGATGTTCCATGTGTCCTCTGTACCACTACTGTCTCTACTGTCTCTTGATGTTCCATGTGTCTCTGTACCACTACTGTCTCTACTGTCTCCTGATGTTCATGTGTCTCTGTACTACCACTGTCTCTACTGTCTCCTGATGTTTCCATGTGTCTCCTGTAACCACTACTGTCTCTACTGTCTCTTGATGTTCCATGTGTCTCTGTACCACTACTGTCTCTACTGTCTCCTGATGTTCCATGTGTCTCTGTACTACCACTGTCTCTACTGTCTCCTGATGTTTCCATGTGTCTCTGTACTACCACTGTCTCTACTGTCTCCTGATGTTCCATGTGTCTCTGTACCACTACTGTCTCCTGATGTTCCACGTGTCTCTGTACCACTACTGTCTCCTGATGTTTCCATGTGTCTCTGTACCACCACTGTCTCTACTGTCTCCTGATGTTTCCATGTGTCTCTGTACTACCACTGTCTCTACTGTCTCCTGATGTTCCATGTGTCTCTTTACCACTACTGTCTCCTGATGTTCCATGTGTCTCTGTACCACTACTGTCTCCTGATGTTCCATGTGACTCTGTACCACTACTGTCTCTACTGTCTCCTGATGTTCCATGTGACTCTGTACCACCACTGTCTCTACTGTCTCCTGATGTTCCATGTGTCTCTGTACCACTACTGTCTCTACTGTCTCCTGATGTTCCATGTGTCTCTGTACCACTACTGTCTCCTGATGTTCCATGTGTCTCTGTACCACTACTGTCTCTACTGTCTCCTGATGTTCCATGTGTCTCTGTACCACCACTGTCTCTACTGTCTCCTGATGTTTCCATGTGACTCTGTACCACTACTTCTCTACTGTCTCCTGATGTTCCATGTGACTCTGTACCACTACTGTCTCCTGATGTTCCATGTGTCTCTGTACCACTACTGTCTCCTGATGTTCCATGTGTCTCTGTACCACTACTGTCTCCTGATGTTCCACGTGTCTCTGTACCACTACTGTCTCCTGATGTTTCCATGTGTCTCTGTACCACCACTGTCTCTACTGTCTCCTGATGTTTCCATGTGTCTCTGTACTACCACTGTCTCTACTGTCTCCTGATGTTCCATGTGTCTCTTTACCACTACTGTCTCCTGATGTTCCATGTGTCTCTGTACCACTACTGTCTCCTGATGTTCCATGTGACTCTGTACCACTACTGTCTCTACTGTCTCCTGATGTTCCATGTGACTCTGTACCACCACTGTCTCTACTGTCTCCTGATGTTCCATGTGTCTCTGTACCACTACTGTCTCTACTGTCTCCTGATGTTCCATGTGTCTCTGTACCACTACTGTCTCTACTGTCTCCTGATGTTCCATGTGTCTCTGTACCACTACTGTCTCTACTGTCTCTGATGTTCCATGTGTCTCTGTACCACTACTGTCTCTACTGTCTCCTGATGTTCCATGTGTCTCTGTACCACTACTGTCTCTACTGTCTCCTGATGTTCCATGTGTCTCTGTACCACTACTGTCTCTACTGTCTCTTGATGTTCCATGTGTCTCTGTACCACTACTGTCTCTACTGTCTCCTGATGTTCCATGTGTCTCTGTACCACTACTGTCTCTACTGTCTCCTGATGTTCCATGTGTCTCTGTACCACCACTGTCTCTACTGTCTCCTGATGTTTCCATGTGACTCTGTACCACTACTTCTCTACTGTCTCCTGATGTTCCATGTGTCTCTGTACCACTACTGTCTCTACTGTCTCCTGATGTTCCATGTGTCTCTGTACCACTACTGTCTCTACTGTCTCCTGATGTTCCATGTGTCTCTGTACCACTACTGTCTCTACTGTCTCCTGATGTTCCATGTGTCTCTGTACCACTACTGTCTCCTGATGTTCCATGTGTCTCTGTACCACCACTGTCTCTACTGTCTCCTGATGTTCCATGTGTCTCTGTACCACTACTGTCTCTACTGTCTCCTGATGTTCCATGTGTCTCTGTACCACCACTGTCTCTACTGTCTCCTGATGTTTCCATGTGTCTCTGTACCACCACTGTCTCTACTGTCTCCTGATGTTCCATGTGTCTCTGTACCACTACTGTCTCCTGATGTTCCACATGTCTCTGTACCACTACTGTCTCCTGATGTTCCATGTGTCTCTGTACCTCTACTGTCTCCTGATGTTCCATGTGTCTCTGTACCACTACTGTCTCTACTGTCTCCTGATGTTCCATGTGTCTCTGTACCACCACTGTCTCTACTGTCTCCTGATGTTCCATGTGTCTCTGTACCACTACTGTCTCCTGATGTTCCATGTGACTCTGTACCACCACTGTCTCTACTGTCTCTACTCTTTTCTCTGAACCAATAGGGTGTACTGTCATTTCAGATGCAGTACTTTCCAAATAACTGCACTTATACTGCAACATTACTGCTCTACTTAAAACTGCAGTATAACTGTTTTATGTTGGACAGTACTGCATTGTACTGCAGTATAACTGTTTTATGTTGGACAGTACTGCATTGTACTGCAGTTATACTGCACTGTGACTGCAATCTTTTTGTACTTTTTTTGTTGTTGGGGGGGGGGTTGACACTTAGCAAAGTTGATAGCAGCAAGTATGTACAATCTGTTGACAGCAGTCATGATGAGGCAGTTGGTTAATTAAACGTACCAGGAAAAGAGATGCAGTGAAAATACCATCAGTTATTACACTCCTAAATCCGTGGCCGTGGCAAACAACAAGGTCAATATCAATGATGTCATTAGCGTGCTTGTATATGCCTTGAAGATAATAGTTAATTTTTCGTTAAAGTAAGGAAGGACGCCCTCCCCTGCCTCCTCCTCCTCTCCTCCTCTCATCCCCTCCAGAGCCTCACTCTTAGGAGTCACTCATCTCATCCTATCTCAGCCTCCTCCTCAACTCCTCCTCCTCGCCTCCTCCTCCTCCTCTTCCTCCTCCTCCTCCTCCTCACTCCTCCTCCTGGTCAGTAAGCAGCTGTGTGTTTGTAGGAATCCAGGAAACATCCAGAACCTCTGTTTAAACCTGAGGCAGTTGACATCTGACTTTGTAATCGATTGACATTCGTTGGCACAGTTACTGGCAATTACATGTCACCAGAGGTTAAAGGTTAATGTGGATCCAACAACAAGTTTTTAAGCAAGTAAAACACAATCCAGAGCCAGTTAAGGATGGACAGCATACAATGGAAAAGGAATTGATTTCTTGGTAGGACTTTATTTTACGGTTGCAGAATTGGTCTAGTAAAACCTGAGTTTGACGCAAAAGAGATTCAAAAGTGTTGACAAACGGAATAGTAAACTTATGAAAAAATGAAGATAGTCGAATGCTCTTTATCTGTAATAGGTATTAAACACCGGTTTCAGAAATGACCAGGTATCTCCTTAGAAAGGTCAAATGGTTATTACACAATAGTAACCTGGGCATTGCTTGTTCAATTGTGTTAAAATATTTTAAGTAGCCTAAGTACCAGAAAGTACCCATTTTTACTAGAATTATAAATATCAGGTACAGTTGAAGTCGGAAGTTTACGTACACTTAGGTTGGAGTCATTAAAACTCGTTTTTCAACCACTCCACAAATTTATTGTTAACAAACTATCGTTTTGGCAAGTCGGTTAGGACATCTACTTTGTGCAAGACACAAGTACTTTTTCCAACAATTGTTTACAGACAGATTATTTCACTTATAATTCACTGTATCACAATTCCAGTGGGTCAGAAGTTTACATACACTAAGTTGACTGTGCCTTTAAACAGCTTGGAAAATTCCAGAAAATGATGTCATGGCTTTAGAAGCTTCTGATAGGCTAATTGACATCATTTGAGTAAATTGGAGGTGTACCTGTGGATGTATTTCAAAGCCTACCTTCAAATTCAGTGCCTCTTTGCTTGACATCATGGGAAAATCAAAAGAAATCAGCCAAGACCTCAGAAAAAACATTGTAGACCTCCACAAGTCTGGTTTATCCTTGGGAGCAATTTCCAAACACCTGAAGGTACCACGTTCATCTGTACAAACAATAGTACGCAAGTATAAACACCATGGGACCACGCAGCCGTCATACCGTTCAGGAAGGAGACGCGTACTTTGGTGCGAAAAGTGCAAAACAATCCCAGAACAACAGCAAGGGACCTTGTGAAGTTGCTGGAGGAAACAGGTACAAAAGTATCTATATCCACATAACATGAAAGGCCGCTCAGCAAGGAAGAAGCCTCTGCTCCAAAACCGCCATAAAAAAGCCAGACTACGGTTTGCAACTGCACATGGGGACAAAGATCATACTTTTTGGAGAAATGTCCTCTGGTCTGATGAAACAAAAATATAACTGTTTGGCCATAATGACCATCGTTATGTTTGGAAGAAAAACGGGGTGGCTTGCAAGCCGAAGAACACCATCCCAACTGTGAAGCACGGGGGTGGCAGCATCATGCTGTGGGAGTGCTTTCCTGCAGGAGGGACTGGTGCACTTCACAAAATAGATGGCATCATGAGGAAGGAAAATGATGTGGATATATTGAAGCAACATCTCAAGACATCAGTCAGGAAGTTAAAGCTTGGTCGCAAATGGCTCTTCCAAATGGACAATGACCCCAAGCATACTTCCAAAGTTGTGGCAATATGGCTTAAGGACAACAAAGTCAAGGTATTGGAGTGGCCATCACAAAGCCCTGACCTCAATCCTATAGAAAATGTGCGAGCAAGGAGGCCTACAAACCTGACTCGGTTACACCAGCTCTGTCAGGAGGAATGGGCCAAAATTCACCCAACTTATTGCGGGAAGCTTGTGGAAGGCTACCCGAAACGTTTGACCCAAGTTAAACAATTTAAAAGCAATGCTACCAAATACTAATTGGGTCTATGCACGCATCACTTCCGCATTGGCTTGGGCATTTCCGGTTACCGGAAAAAAACATTAGACAGTGACAGTAGACCGTTATGATGGTTGCCTAAAGTATCTGTTAATGATATACGGAGGGTCGTCCGGACATCCAGTACGACACCACGTAGCAAACTGGATTAAAGGTTTCAAATTTTACGTTTCTTCTTTTCTTTGCAACTTTGAAGGTAATATGCTAACGATAGCTAGCCTGAGCTAGAAGCCTTGCTTTGGTGTTTTAAGTCATGACTTTCAGTCCTGCTTCAGGTTAATCATGCTTTAAATAAAGTTGAATCATGTGTATATACCTCTCACTTCATGTGTTTTGTACTTTTATGAAAGGATCAGGTAAAAACAGGGCTCCAAATGAGATCTCTGTGAGAGCCCACTGCTACCGCTCAATGAAGAATCTAAAGCCACCACACCAGCTGAGAGCAGGACTGGATTAAGTGACACGTTCAAAGTTCTGTTGAACTTGTTCAAGGTTCCGTTCAACACATGTTTTTACTCGTTTAATGTTACCACAGCTTTGGTTGCCGTCGCTAAGAGAACACTTCAGAACTTTAGTGGTTTCCACGATAGCTGAACAGTGGTAGCCTAATACAGACCAGGGTAGCTGAGTGGGAATTGCCATGCTTTGTTGTTGGGTCTGTTGTAAACAAATTGGGAGTTTGGTTTGAAATGTAAACAATAATGAGATGACTACTTTTTCCTGACTTGATGACTGCCATGACAGTACCATATTCCACTCAGCTATTCTTCAAACTGCTGATGTTCTACTCAAAACTGTCCTGTCATCTTTACTTCTTTCTTTATAAACATATGGCCCAACTTCCTTGCTTTTGTACTTGATGTTTCTACTTTTCAAGAGGAATTAGGAGCAAAACCTTCCCTCTACTGTTGTTATTGGTACTAGGCTACAATGTTGCACCGCTCACTTACTGCTCTGCCAATACTGTTTGAAGGTAGGTAAATGGCACAAGACATTTACATTTACATTTACATTTACGTCATTTAGCAGACGCTCTTATCCAGAGCGACTTACAAATAGGTGCATTCACCTTATAGCCAGTGGGATAACCACTTTACAATGTTTTATTTTTATTTTTATTTTTATTTTATTTTTGGGGGGGGGGGGGGGGGGTTGGGGTAAAGGGGGGGGGGGGGGTAGAAGGATTACTTTATCCTATCCCAGGTATTCCTTAAAGAGGTGGGGTTTCAAATGTCTCCGGAAGGTGGTGAGTGACTCCGCTGTCCTGGCGTCGTGAGGGAGCTTGTTCCACCATTGGGGTGCCAGAGCAGCGAACAGTTTTGACTGGGCTGAGCGGGAACTGTGCTTCCGCAGAGGTAGGGGAGCCAGCAGGCCAGAGGTGGATGAACGCAGTGCCCTCGTTTGGGTGTAGGGACTGATCAGAGCCTGAAGGTATGGAGGTGCCGTTCCCCTCACAGCTCCGTAGGCAAGCACCATGGTCTTGTAGCAGATGTGAGCTTCAACTGGAAGCCA